AAGCTTCAGCCACCAACCATGACAGGATATCTTGACATGATACATTCAACCAAAGCTCATTTTAAGAGATCTTTAAATTCAGAAATCCATTAGTAATTTTAATTAATTTCAAAAGCAACACAGAGTTCACATTAATAGTTCCCAATTAAAATAGACTATCTTTTCCCATTAGTTCACTAAAATGTTTGGCAGGTAACAGGTAAGGAAGCAATCATCCTATTTCTGTGATGAAACATAAGGAGTAAAAGGGTCTTGTTTATGGTATCCTCTCCTCTTTAATCAGATCTTAGAGAAATCATCAATACATTGAAGTCACTAAGCAAATAAACTCTTGGTTTTACTTATAAATCTCAAGAAGTCTATTTCCAGCTTACTAAAAATACAGGTAGAATAGTTTACCAACACATAAGATTATGAGCTTGAAGATTCTTTGCAAGTTTGATATTTTAAAGTGTTAATTTAATCAAAATTTAACATTTTAAGAAATGACACAGCATTTTGTCTTAAACTAGAAAAAAAAATCTAATACTTTAGAAAACATTACCAGAAAATTAAGATCTTATTAGGTGACAATTATCTTCTGATTTTAGGATTTTTAAAATATGATGGAAAGGGTTATTTTATTCATGTGAATAGTAACCAAATGATTTTTTAAATTAAAAAAAATTTTTTTACAGTTTTTTTTTTTTTTTAAATAGGTTCCATGCCCAATGTGGAGCTTGAGCCCATGACTCTGAGATGAAGAATCACATATTCTACCAACTGAGCCAGCCAGGAGCCCCAGAAAATTATATTAAAGGGAGAAAATTCAATCCCCATACACTTCCCAAAGCAAATCTCTAATTAAGCTATTAATTAATTTTGGGTAAGCAAGGTCAAATTAATATATTAGGATATAATGACCCAGAAGTGATACCTTACTTTGTAAGGGCCTCTCCTTTTTCAAAGTTACAGGAAGCAAAAGGGAAAAGAAATAAAAGTCATAAAAGATAACAGTGATTTATATCATTCCTTTCTATAAAGGAATAGTTTTGTATAAAATTATAGAAGGTCATTTTAGGGAAAACGCAATGTACAAAAAGTTCATATCCCTTCCTTTGTTCATAGCAATGTCCTGAACTACTTAATTAATGCCATACCTCAAATTAAATTGCAGTTTATTTCATTAACAAGTCTACTTTTTCTTCTCTCTCTGGGAGGTAGGAAACATCCTGACAACTCTTGATTATCACAACTATTAGCTGGGCAAATATAGGAAACAAAATAGAAAAAGCTATTAACAGTGAGAATGGTTCTATAGATTAAATTACATCAAACAATTTTATATATTGATATAAATAAACTACATTTTCCTTAAATATATAGCCATCAGTTGCTAAACTATCATAATCATAAAAATAAGGATTATTTTTAATATATAGTCCAAACTCAATGTACATCCCACATTCTAATTAAGATACAGTGGAGCAAAGGAAATAAGCCCACCAGTATTTACTTTTTGACATTAGCCTTGAAAATGGCAGCTACCATCAAGCTTCTTTGGAGTATTCTTCCGGGACTATTCTTTATCCCAAATCCCTATCTTCCCATTCACTTGACTGTCAAAATTGAGTAAATTCCAAACAGCACATAAAATAAGCCAGTGAAACCTCAGAAATCACCCTTCCTTAAAGTACCTTTTTGAAGGATGAGGCTGGGGGAGAATTCCCCCAGGTTAGACAATTTGATCCTAAGATGAGTTACACCTTTTACCCTAGAAAAAAAGAAATTCTGCCAGAATCCCTTATTTACTGTAAACTTTTTGGCGATTCCTAGAAGAAGGGAATTGAAATATTTATATATAGTGTCCTCATATAACAACATAAGTGTCCTGGAAGGACAGGGTTGAGAAGCTAGGTTAGAAAACTTAGAAGTTGAAAAATTCCAATGTGGTCAACTTGGGAAATGTATACCAATATTTAACTAAATTTAAGTTGTCAGAACAAAAGTTTTTGATATGATTAGATCATGTTTAAAAGATGCTGATATAGGGAATTGTCAAATTCATGAAGCACTTGGGAGTAGGAATGGAAATAGTAGCATATCTTCAAATGACCAACATTCAATTTGCCTATATATTTAAAAATATACTTAAATATATTTTGAATCTATGCTTAAAATTACATTGACATCACAGTGGTAGTAAAGTATCACTGCACTGCATGGCAGTGACAATACAATATTTACTTGTTTTACAGTAACCACAGAATAGATTTAGGCAACAATCACAATGTCATAGTATAGTTTCACCATTCTGGTATAACATCCTATTATCATTATATCTTGTCACAATATGGTTATATTAGGCTTGTCACAATCTGAGTCCAATATTTTAGAATAACAAGATAATCTGAATTACTTATATTTATGTGTATACACATTAGCAGCCAAATGTTTCACTTCCAAATAATGTTTTAATGAAAAACGAATGGATTTGCTCTACAGAGCCACACAAAATAAAAAATAATACAAAAATGCCATTAAGAACTTAACAACTAAAATACTTCTGGACATATTTATTATTCCAAATGTACTAACTCCTATTATAACAACCTCTTCTGTGCACTTTGAGAGTTAACTGTATACATGAAAAACATATTTCAAAATATCCCCAAACTGATACCTATTCCAATTATCTTAAACGAACACCAATTTTTAGCATAAGCTTGTTACAGTCAAATACTAGTGTCCCTCACAAGGAAATCTGGAATATTTTTATATTACAGTTCATGTTTATATCACTGTAGAAACACTTAAGAAGGTGTTTTAGGTTAACTTTTTGGTGGGTGCTTTAAGAGACTTACTTAAATCATTAGTCTTAGGTTTGATAAATGCTTAAAGCCACTTCAAAAGAGTTCTCAAAAATTTGAAACAGCTGTAGCATAGTGCAGAACACTAAATTTGAAGCCTAAAGATCAGCCTACACTGTCTCTAGCGTTATGATTCTGTTCATGTCACTGTACCTAAGTCTGCTTCTAGAGCTCACACATAAGTCATCCTACCTCTTTCAATATCTCTTATCCAGGTTTTTTTTCTACACATTTCTCTTCCAATCAAGAACTTAATGAGAATCAACTACGTGCCAGGAATTGTGCTAGGCAAATTTTGTTATTCTAATAAGAAACTGAAGGTATAATGTCAGAAATGTGACCTTTTCGTTTGAAGAGATTCAGGATCAAGTGAATGAAATTACATATCCCCATTGAATTGGGGGTGGGGGGGGGCAAGGTAAAGACTAGGAACAGCTTCCAAACTTTAAGTTCAAATATGGGATGACACCAAGTAAAGCTCAACAGGGAAAAAAACTGGGATAAATATTTGTTAACTAGATATTTTGGATCATTTGTTTTCAGTACCATGCAATTTAGGAAAGCAAGACTTGAAACAATTAAGTGAAAATACTTAAATTTGTGTAGAAATAACCAGGATCCAGTTAAGAACATGACATAACAGAGGCAAGAAGCTGTGCTCTTTCTCACAGGTTGCTTGCCTTGTCAATTTCCTTTGCACTAAAACTATATGAAAAGTGTACCTTGAGGGGCAAAAATACAGAGAGAAATTTCAAGTATAGTACAAGAACAAGCAATGGCATTTGTAATATTTTATGAAAGTGTACAAGACTTAACTGACACATATCACACACTATATAGAAATTATGAAATATAAACACAGACCAATTTTAATGAAGCAACATTCTGATAGTAATTAACTAATTTACAAGCTCTATTAACACAGCAGCTCTGTCCTACCAATCTAATGTGGTCAATCTTTGCAACATAACAGTTACGAAACAAGCTATTCTTCAGCAGGCTTCTCATGAAAAATTGCAGAGATTATACAGGAAAGCCTAAGAACTGGACTTCTTTTGTCTCATTAAAATGTGAATTAACTTTAAACATATCGTTTGCAATGTAACTCTAGGAGGCAAAATATACAGAGAAAAAATTTAACAAAATATATACACATATATTAACGCAGATACTAGTATGACCATCAGTATCAACAACAGTCTTTCACTACTTTGTACCCACATAATTCTTTAACATCCATTCTCTTAAAGCCAAAAGAGTTTGTTTGAAGATTCAGAACCAGGAAATAAGCAGCCTGGCGGTGAAAGAGGGGAAGTTATTTTTTTTCAGCATTTTCTAATGAAGCCCATCTCTCACAATGATACAAACTTTTGTAGGTTAGGCGAAACCACGAGCTACCTGGGGTTGGCAGAAGGGTGCAATCAGAGACCAGGAGGTGATCCTGGAGTTGAAGGCCAAACCGTCTCCATATATTAATGATTCCCCCTTACTAGGTAGTATTTCTAGATAAAAGCATGTAGGGATCCCGTTGTAACCTAGAAAAGGCTGGTGGACCAGAACCACAGTCGAAAGTGGGAGCAGTAACAGCATTTAGGAGTCTCCATGCAACCTTTCCTCCCCTCCATCTCTATCAGACCGGACTATCCTCTCCAAGTCCGAAGGCTGAGGGGTCAAAGAGAAATATGCGGTTAGGGTGGCTTCCCTGGCAGGTGCCCTCCCTAAGTTTTCCCTCTGTTGAGCCCACATCTCCGTTCTGAACCGACCTAGGAGCTGGTCCAGGGCTGGGAGCCCGGTTGATACCAGCAGCTGTCCATTCCGCACCGATGGTCGTGTGCCCGCGATGGACACCAGTCGAGAACAGCCGCTGTCGGTACCGCTTGCTCTAGGACCCTTCCTCTGGAAACTGGTGACGTTGTTCTTGCTGGTTGCAGCCACTATAGATCCAGTACTCCCAACGCCGGTGCCGCAGGTCGCCACTGCCGCCATCTTGGAGCTTCCCGCGTTGACCCAATAGGAACTCTGGGAACTCAAGCAGCAGGCCTGTCAGAGCCAGCCCCAAACACCCGCCTCCTTGCCCACTATCACCGCTCCCGTGGCCAATAGGATTGAGAGCTCTCCTTCCAATCAACCAATCGCAAGGAGTATTGCTGAAAAGTGCGCTCAACGCGGGGACGGCGGACTTCTGCTGGGCCCAGGTGAGAAAGGCCCACCTGAGTCTTGGGTGAGAGTGTTGCTTGGTTCTTTGGGGCTAGAGGTGGGTAATATCATTTAACATTTTTCTCGTTTTGGGTGTCTTCATTAACGCAGAGTTAAAAAAGAGGCTAGTGGAGCGATATATCCAGTAACTACCAGTGGGAACTTGCACCTTTCTTCGCTCCTTAGGAAAAAGGAAAGATACTTTCCCCCGCCCCTTTCTTTTCTGATTTCTGAGAGAAAATTCATTCCGCCCTTACCATCAGGTTTTTTGTTTGTTTGTTTGTTTTGTTTTTTGTTTTTCTCGGAATGGTTGTGTTATATTGAAGAAATTGGAACTCTTAATGAGTTGCTTGCTGAGCATCTGGGCACAGTTAGACAGTTCCAGCGGCAGGCAGGTGGGTTGGATTTAGACCTTAAGAGGGAAAACTCTTGAGCTTTGAGGCGATTTGGTTTTCCTGTCTCAAACAGTAAATGACAAAATGTACTTCTCTGACAAGTCCCCGTGAGAAGCTTTCGTTAATTTTAATTAGTGCTTCTGGAAGTCTTGGGGCGCGTTTCCGTAAGTAGTGTGAATGACAAGTGTTACTCTGACAACCTTGTTCACACATTTAATTGTCATTTGCTGTTAAGGCAGCTGCAAAGAACAGAAAATACTTTAGATCTCTTTCCCCAAAAAACTGGTATTAGATGTGTATGTACTTTATTTTCCTAGTGATTTGTGAACTCTGAATTGAAAGCTTTTTTATTAGCATAGGAATTTTATGTGCGGAAAAAACATGTCATTTAGAGCTGTGTCTTTGGATTTAAAACTTTTTTCAAAAGTGAGCTGGGTGGAGGAGTAAGTGATTTTTAAAGGTATTCATGATTGACAAATGTCTAAACTAAAAAAAACCTCCCGAATCGTGCCTGCGCTACTGAATTATTGGTTTTGACAGTGATCTATGATATTTTAAAAATATATCTATCCAAACCTCATTGAAATTCTTGCCAGTGAATTGTTTTAAATCTCAGTGACTTGTTAAAACTTTTTGGCTGATTCTGTTTGATAAATTGCAATTAGTTTTGTGAAATAGTGGCTGGTGGGTTTTGTTTTTGTATTTAGAGTAAAATCTTAAGAAAGTAAAACAAACCAACTTACTATTTAGCAATGTACCAACTGGAAAACTTGATCAAGGTTTAGATGCTTTCATTTAGAACCTTTCCTCAGTATAAATTTGTAATCTAAATTATTCAATAAATAGCTGTTGAGTGCTTACTGTTTGCTTAGACCTAATGTGTCACTTTAGGCCTATAAAGTAAAAATGTTCTCATTTGGGGGAGACAGGATTAACACATAGAAAACAGCATAGCGCTTAAAGTGAACACATTGGACAGTATGTGCTAATTTTTTCCTGTAGTATATAAGTGCTGAGAAGATCAAAACAAAAAGGGACAAAACAGTCTAATTTCAAATGGAAACTTCTTGGATATTTTTGCTGCTTGGAAAAATTTGAAATAATAATGAACTTTTATAGGCTTTTTTACTACATATTCCCTTGTTTCCTCTCCCTTTACTTCATCCTTTAGTTTTCTAGAAGTGGTGGTATGATGCTTTGTTTATGATATTACTAGAACTGAAAAATTTTTTTTCAACTTTATAATTCAGAAAGCATGCCATATATGCACAACAAGGCATTCTTGAAATGAAGATGTATCTTGCGTATAACATTATCATAGAATAAATTTATTTAATCTGTCTTAATTTTTTTACAAAGACAAAACTTTTGCCTTCAAAGCAAATAATGCCAAATACTTGGATTTACGAGTATGTAGAGTTGAATATAAAACATTGGAATAAATGAGGTATTTGTGGAAAGGGTATGTTTAGGTGTGGTGTTAATAATGATTAAAAACAACTTAATAATTAACAATTATTTATTGAGCACATACTAAATCCCAGGGAGTATGCTAAGCATTCAGGTTATAGGAGAAAGAATACTTAGTCTCGTTTTTCCTTGAGTTCATAGTTGGGGGAGGTAGGTGGGTAAATAGGATAATAAAGTATATTATAAGTGCTATGGAGGACAAATGCAGAATACCTAACTTGGACTGAGAGAAAGGAGAGGAGCCTTGGGAAGCTTCTCCTGAGGGGGAAGTTTAACCTGTGTGATGAAGGAAGTGTAAAAGATGAGGGCATAATAGACCGTGAAAGCCATTACAGAGAACAGGAGACTATTCCTTCAAATCTGCTCTCACTGCTTCTGTGCAAGTAGTTCTCATGATTTACACATAGTGCTAAGAAGAGACTGGAGAAGTTAGACAAAGGTCTAATTGATTTTTTTTTTTAAGGTTGCGGCTCTTGTTTTTTTGTAAAAATAATAGGAAATGGGAAATTATTGAAAAATTTTAAATAAAGCAACAACATAACGATCATATTTGATTGTTAGGTTTTGGCTAAGAGTATACCAGAAGAGAATCGATTGGCTGACTGTGGTTGGGATAAAAAGCATGGAATGAATTAAGAGATTACTATGAGGAGTACAATTGATGTGACCAAGGAAAGTTGACAGGAGGAATCAGAGATGACTAACAGATTTCTGAGCAGGTTTGTGGATGGCAGAGGATAAAGAATAAAGGAAAACAGCAAAATTTTGTAGTTATGGTTTTGGTTGTTTTAGGGAATGGGAGATCATAAAATGAGTTTTTGAAATCTGTTTTGAATATGTTTAATTGGAGGTACCCTAGGAGCATCCAAGTAGAGATGTCCAATAATACTGGGCTACGTGAGAGAGGGATCTCTAGATGAAACGTACAGATTTGAAATTAATTAGCACGTGATGGGAGTTTACCCCAAGGGATGGATAAACTCACCAAGGAAATGTATACTTTAAAATGAGAAGAAAAAAGGACCAAGAATAAACTTTGGGGAACATAACATTTAAAACCTTGGCAGAGAGAAAGAAAGTAAAATAAGAATTGGAAAGTGTTTATTTAGTAATACTGTTTCACAGGCTTTGTTAAAGGAATATTTGATGGAGTAGTAAACTGAAAAGTCAAATAATTGTATTTAGAATTGAATGGCAAGTGAAGTTGAATATTCCATAAAAGTAGACCACTTTACATTTTAGAAAGCTTTGCTATGAAGGGGGATAGAGAGATGACAAACTTTAAGAGAGGAGTTTTGTTGTTAAAGAGAGAAAACAAGGCACTGGAAAATAATTCTAGACAATTGTTAAAGAAAAGGACCTAAATGAGATAGAAGGAATGTCAGTCATAGCACAGAAGGATCAGTATTTGAAAGGCTGGGGGGACAATTCAATGGCTAAACGGTGTAAATGAAAATAAGCTCTTTTCCCTCCTTTCTGCCATTAAATTGTGTAGTCCTGAAGACCATTTTCTCTTTTTAGTCCATATCCTTACTTTTATCCAGTCCGAGGACCTCAGTTACCATTTATATATCAATGACGAACATGTATAGTCCAGGTCACTTCTCTGACCTCCAGAATTATAAATTCAGATATTTACTTTACCAGTTTCTTGAAATTCTTAGTGGGGCTTCAAACTCATAATGCCGCAGACTGAACTTCCTCTTGTTTTGTATCTCAGTAAATGATAGGACCATTTTCAGAATTAGTTGCCTAAGACAAGGAACCTCACTACCCTCAGGTCCTCTCTCAAGCATCATTCTTCCATGTCCGTTACATTACCAAGACCTATGGAGTTTACTTCTTAATAGCTTTCTAATCCATTCTGAGACTATAGCCCTCATCTTAGTTCACCTGCAGTATATTCTTCATTCAAGAGCCATCCTAATCCTTTCAAAATAGAGGTCTGATAATATAAAAACAATACGTAGTAAGCACTTGCATGTGGTTCCCTCCATTTGCCTCTCTAGCCACATCACTCTGTAAATTTCCTCTCTGCACTCTAGCATTTATTCATTCTCCTGTACTCTAGCATTTACTTATTCTCTCATGTTCTCTTCCTCCAAAAGGCCGCTAGTTAGCTTCTGCTTATCCTTCAGATCTCACTTCAACCTACACATTCTCAGTAAAGCCATCTCTCCTTGCTATCAAGATGAAATCAGCTCCAGGGCACCTGGGTAGCTCAGCTGGTTGAGTGCCTGACTCTTGATTTCGGCTCAGGTCATGATCTCAGGATTGTGAGATTGAGCCCGGTGTCAGGCTCCACGTCTACCATGGAGCTTAAGATTCTCTTCCCTCTCCCTTTGCCCCTCCTGCCCCACACGTGTGCACACTTGCTCCCTCTCTCTCTCAAAAAAAAAAAAAAGAAAAAAAGAAATCAGCTCCTATGTGTCAACAACGAATGAGTGGAATTGGAAATTAAAAACACAATGTCATTTACATTAGTATCCAAAAAAATTAAATATTTAGGCATAAATCTAAAAAAAGATATGTACAAGATCTGTATGAGGAAAAATACAAAATTCTGATGAACATAATCAAAGACAAACTAAATAAATGGAAAGATATTCCATGTTTATGGATAGGAGACTCAGTGTCAAGATGTCAGTCTTCCCAAATTGATCTATAGATTGAAATGCCATCCCAATCAAAATCCCAGGAAGCTATTTTATGAATATTGACAAGCTGATTTTGAAGTTTATATGGAGAGGCAAAAGACCCAGAATAGCAAACACAATATTGAAGGAGAAGAACAAAGTTGGAGAACTGAAACTACCTGTCTTCAAGACTTACTTAAAGCCACAGTAATTAAGACAGTGTGGTATTGGTAAAAGAATAGACAAATAGATCAGTGGAACATAATAGAGTACCCAGAAATAGACTCACATAATCTACTGATCTTTGACAAATGAGTGAAGACAACACAATGAAGCAAAGACAGTCTTTTCAGCAGATGGTGCTGGAACAACATACACATGGCAAAGAAAAAAAAGAGAGAGAATCTAGGCATAGACCTTACGTCCTTCACAGAAATTAACTCTAGTGGACCACGTATCTAAACATAAAATGCAAAACTATAAAACTCCTAGAAGATCACATAGGAGAAAACCTAGAGAACCTTGGGTATCTGATGCTTTTTTAGATACAATACCAA